GAAGGCCACTGTGGGACGATCAAAGTGCCGTAACCTGCTTTAACAGAAGGCACAATGGCACTCACAGGAGGGCAGACCCAATTGCTCTTGTCTCTACAATCCTGGGCCAAGACGTCAACAAAAACAAAAAATGTGCAGAAGAAGGGGATGGAACAGCACCCTATCCCATTAGAGTTTCCCGTTTCCAAAAAGCAGCCCAGTTTAATTTCCTCAACCTGTAAAATTCAAAAAAGCAAAAAGAATGCTATGCACACACAAGTACACAGTGCAGACCTATTTTTTTTACATTTCTGACATAACTAACTCATCATCTTACAGTGGTAAAAATCTCAAAAGAAATCAATGTTGGAAAATTTTCGCACGCACATCGTTAAAGAGTTTAAAATGAGGATATTTTGTTTTTAGACAGAAATAGACTGGAGCCAAGAGAGTTTCTTGGCAATGACACTGTGGGTGTCATTTAGTTTCTTTTTTGATGTATACATGTATGTCTGGTGCCAAGTTTGAAGAACACTGCTCCAATATTTCCAGAGGTATTCTTATATTCAGTATTTTACCATTTTAGTTACAAACCTCATGAGATCATCACTTTCCTAATTTGCATAACACAAAAACATCAATATCTCTAAAGTGAAAAAGATAGTCCAAAAAGGAAAATGCCATTCCTCTGTATATTGAAAAGCCTTTCAAATAAGCAGCAATTATTATTTTTTTTATTTCATAGGCACTTTAATTAAGAAGTGATGTTTAGATGTTTCATTCCTGACATCAATATGTGTCAACAATAATTACTTTGAGACTGAGAAAAGTTGAATGTTTTGATAAATTAATCTTATAAACATTTTGTGTATTGGGTTTGTTAACTTTGAGACAAAGCAATGGTTTCTCACCTCATGTAATTTCAAGACCAATTTTGTGTTTGGTTTAGTCTCACTCGACTGCTGACTGAGACTACTGGCGTATTTTTTCTGAGTCATTTTCCAGAAAATAAGCTACTTTTTCTTTTTTCTTCCTGCTTCTTGTACCTGTTCAATGCCTCAACAAAACTTTTTTGTACCTTATCTTTCGCCCAGTCACATGTCATATTATCTATATTCTCAAAACTTTCTGCCATTTGAAAACACAGAGGAAAAACTTTGTAATGACGACGTCATTTGTGCGTCTGGCCTCTAATAGATCATAGGCAAGAACCAATTAAAATGCCCAAATAATTTGGGTTATTATATAAAAGCACATACATATATGCACATACACGTATACAGTATATGCGTGTATGCCTCATTAGTATGTATGAGCCAACTTATTGTTTCTTCTCTTAACAGGTTGTTGTTTCAATGGCTTAACAGCTTGCCACAGAGTGAGAGAGAGTTTTATTAATTTTGAATATGCGTATACAGTATATGCGCTTATGCTTTCAGACTAGACTAGCTGAAACAAGCAATTTGGAATTGGGCACTCCATTGAAAGAGAGAGTATTTTGCCATTGAATAGAAATTTACTGCTTTCTGCAAAATAGAAGCGGTGATACGTGCTCCAACAATTCCATCATCAAAGAGCAAACAATTTGTGCCATGTACAACCGAAAGTTTTTTGACAGAAAATGAACACAGTTTGTTCAAGCGACCTGCTGGCACATGCCAGATTACAGAACTTTTACTTGCTGAAAAAATTGTAAACTCAGTGTAAACTGCATGTCATGGAAACTTTCAATTGATAAAGACTCCATTTTTCACAGAAAGAGTATGTAACCATTAGAATAAATGATTTGTGCCAAATAGAAAGGTAGATGTCATTTCAGTTTGGATGAGAGACTTATTCAGAACTAATGTAGTCAATAAACATTTAGCAAACGACTTGCTGATGCATCACAGCTGATACACAGAACTTTTCCTTGTAGAAAATTAGCTTAACATGAGTGGCACGCTATAAAAACTTTGATCAATAATTTTCATCAAGGAAAGACTATTTCTATTGTTTGAAGAACAATTTGTGTCAAACAGAGCGGGAGATATAATTTTTTCGATGAGAGATCTTATCGGAGTGCTTCAGACGATAAACGTTTTGCAAGCAACTTGCTGACACGTGCCGATACACTCAACCATAACAAATGGCTGATGAGTGTGTGTACGGGTGAAGTGTATATATCCATATTTTGCACGCAACTACAAGGAACAAACCCAACTTTTACCACGGGACTCTGTAAAATAGATATTTTTCTGCAAAGACTGAAAGAGAAAGTTGCTACCACATGTATACATGAAGTGTTTTGATCAAAATAATAGAAATCATAACATCCCCTCTGGACATACCCCAGGCATTGACTAGTTGATATGCCCTGGAGGGGAGAATTTGATGTTACTCTACAGAGCACTATAATGTAAAGGGCAAGGTACAATTCTTGACTAACTAACTAAGTAACTAACTAAGTTCCCTGATTATTTTGTTTGTTGTGTTATCCAGTCCATCATTCTCATGTACCTGTAGTTACTGTAAATTTGTTGTTCTTTTTACCTTTCCTGTTTAGAGTTATCATGGCTGATCAACAGGTCGAAATTCTCCAAAAACTGGAGAAGATGGGTAACCTTGAGTCTGTGGTTACAGAACAAAAGATAAGGATTGAGAAACTCAGGACAACTTATGAAACTTTAAAAGCTGAACATCTACAGCTACAAGATGTGAGTTATAAGATAAGGTGTCCTGTACCTTGAGTTCATACATGAGCTACTTAGTCAGACATACTGTAACAGTCATTATAACTGGAATTGTTGATGTGATGTACCATCTGCATCCTGTGCGCTGCAATACAAATAATAAACTTTAAAAACTACAGTTGTACTTCATCCAAATGAAAGTTACAGCCTTACTTATAGTGTTTCTGTGTTCGTTTAGTCAAGACAACCTATCACGATAGTTTGTCGTGATGGATGATCTACATGTATCTGTGTGCCCGTATTTATACACAGACCAATGATCAGAAGAACTACTCTACTGTTCTTTGCCAAGGTTTGTTCCAGATGCACTGTAGATGATTTGTCTCATACAGTGTAAATCGAGCCAGTAAGTGAATATGAAATGTATTTTTGAAAGTGCTCACACCATAAAATGTTACATGTTTGTCAAAAGCTTGTGTTACATGTGGCCCTTGTGTTTCTATCAAGTTATGGAAGTACAGGCTTAGCACACACTTTCTTAAAGGCTGTCCAGAGTAAGAGACTGCTTTCAGTTTTTTAAAGGTTTAAATTTCTTAGCTCAATGATAGGAAACAGACAGAAATTGAAGAAGCAAGAGAGGAGATCAAGAAAATCCAGGAACAAAGTCAAGAAGTTGTGCAAAGGATGAGGGNAATAAGTCGGAGTTGCAGCAAGATCCCCATAGTATAAGACCATAGGTCACTGAGGGCAAAATGACCTTAAAATAGAGATCCTGACGAACGTTCCTAGGGAGAAATCTCGAGTGGTTAAAATCTTGCCCAAGCCAACAATGTAGAGTAAAAGTAATTCCATGAACCTGTGTACATGAACATTATTTCATTGTTTTGTTGGCAATTGAGAATTGCAGTGGAGTTTTCTCATTTACTGGTCACCTACAGCTTGGTTGACTGGCTTGAACATGTTCCGTTTACTCAGGCTCTTTTTAAAATATAAGGTTATGACTGCACAGTAATTTCTCGAAGATAATTCTGCCCATCATGTAACAGTCAACAGAATTGCAACTCTGCAGAATTTTACTTGATTTTTATTTGCTTTCAAAAGCCCACATATAATAAAAATTATTCATAAACATGTATAATACATGTATAACACTTTGGGTTAAAATCTTGCCCAAGCCAACAATGTGGAGTGAAAGTAATTCCATGAACCTGTGTACATGTCATTTATTAGTCACATACAGTGTGGTTGACCCTTGAACATGTTCTATTTACTGGGGCTTTTTTTTTTTTTTACAATATACAGTAAGGTTATGAATGCAATGTAATTTTTTGAAAATAATTGTTATTAAATATTTTCAATATCTTGCAGGTGGTTACTCCTCAGAGAATGGAGCTGTTAAGGGTGAAGTTACGGGAAGAAGTTGAAGGACCCTACAAAGAGGTACAAATTAATGTACATGTACACCCTTGACATACAAGAAACAGCACTTAACAGTAACATGAAAATTAATAATGCTAAAGCACACTTTTTACATACAATACAGATTGAATGTAAACCCCTTGACAATATATAAGTACAGGTATGTATGATGTAGCTGGTGTTCCTGGTCTGATGAAGAACAGATGAAAATAACCTGTTCAATAATATTATTTTTTACAATAACTGTGTAATTTCTTGCACGCTGATTGGCTCATTTTTATCATCAATAAGAATACAGACGGATAAAATTTTAATTGATGCAAGCCTTCAACAGTTCAACTTTCAGTTGTCAAACTGTCAACTTTTTAACCAATGGGATTTAATTGACTTTTTTAAGTAGCCAATCAGAAAGTGAAAAAAGCTATTGACAATGTTCACGTCATTTTGAATAAAATTCACTTATCTTTGTTTATGGCAAGTTTACAGTGTCTTTTCCCTCATTTATTCCCGGCATTTGACCATTTTGGGGTCTTGTTATTGTAAAAAACAAATTGATGTCAGTTTTTTATGCATTTGTCCTCTTATTGATGATAAATTGCATCATTATAACATTGTCAAATTTACTGCGGAGCAACTGGCCTACGGGTCGTGGTTCCACAGCCACTTTCATTGACAATAATATGATGCAATTTATCATCAATAAGAGGGCAGATGCATAAAAAACTGATGTCAATTTGTTAAATTGAGTTCACTTTATTAATCATGAACACGATTCATTAGGGCTTTTGCTACTCAAAGTCCTTTCCATTTCATAAACTGCACTCAGACATGTACATGTACATTGGTACAATGTATGTGTAATGCCTTATACATGAATGTGAGCCACTTGTATAGTGTTTTCCAAAATACATAAAGCATTTATTCTTACTGTAAAGACAGAGATAAAATTAGCTGTTTTTCATTATCTTTATAGAGATACGAATCAATGGAAACTGAAATTGATAAGTACCGAAGGTGAGTTACATGTAGACATTACAGGAATGTCAGATTTTTAACCACTTTTAACCTACTGTAGGTTGTCTTAAGTAAGTGTCCATGAATCCATTGGCTCTGGTACTAGAAATTAAACAATTTATTATTATTATTATTATTATTATTATTATTATTATTATTATTATTATTATATTAATTGTCAAATTAGAGGTCCCTGAACATCTGAATAGTGCATTGTAGTTTCAAGGAACTACAGACGTGTAAACCTCCAGAGAAGTAAAATTATGGAAAAGAGTGATTGTACAGATTATACAGTCATATGTATAAATCATCAGCAGCGTGGCTGAGTAGTTAGGGCGTTGGACTTGAAATCTGAAGGTCACAGGTTCAAGCCTGCTCCGACCACTAAGCTGGAGTTGTTCCTTGGGTAGATGCTATTTCAGCTCCTCTGTTATGCTAGCTTTTAAAATTAATAGCCAACTGCTCTGCCTCCTGCCAGTTCGGATTTTTAAACCTATAATTGTGTTTAGTTGATTTATTTGTTTCTTTTAGTGTGAGTGGCATGCCCAGGAACTAGCTAGGTGTAGCTAAGCACATTGACCACTATAAACAACAACCTTTGGACATTTTTTTTTTTTTTTTGTAAAATGGCAAATTTGAAAGTGGTGACCAATGTTTTCAAGCTGTGCCATCCATGCAAGCCCCTCATATTGATATCGTACATTGCAAACATTACAGAGTCTGTGAACTAAGAAGTCTTGTCAGGTTACTGTATGGTCTGTAATACACGTACAGTTTACCTTACATTAATATACAAATGAATGAATAATATTAAGGTAACCTCAGGCAATTTGTCAGTAAGAAAATGTTGTTATGGTTTTCCAATAGTGACTTCAACAAGCTACGATATGATTATTCCTTCCTGAAGTCTGAATATGAACATGAACAGGTTAATAGATCTTTAATTGTCATTATTACATGTAGTCTTCTTCGAAAGTTAAGAGCATATACTTGTAAGATCTAATAAAGAATTCATCTGTACATGTACAAAATACCAAATTCATGGTGCGTAAAGGAGTGACACTCTACAGGGCTTGAAAAAACTTGAAATCGATCTTGTCCTTCGGACAAGTAGCTCTCAAATTTTGCTTGCCCTGGGCAAGTCATAGTTTACTGTCTTTCTTTTACTTATTTGGCAGACAACTAGCCTAGGCCCTTGCCCATTGGGCAAGCGAGAATGAAACTTACTTGCCCTACAGGAGAATCCACTTGTTCCATAGTATCATGTCAACCCTGTCAACCCGGGGTATGCAATCGATGGAAATCGATGATCGAAAAACCAATCGATCAATCGATATCAATCGATA